CTTGAACTCAGTCTTTGCCTGCAGGGGTTGGGGCTGGAAGGCTTCTCATTATAAGCACTATAGCGCCATTCCACATTTTCGGCGATGTATGGAAGCTACTTTAACTTAAAAAAGAAAAACTAAGTGCAGGGCACAGTGGTGCATACATGTAATCCCAGACTCAGGAGGCTGAGGCAGGAGGATTGCTGCAAATTTGAGGCCAACCTGGGCTACACAGAGAGTTCAAGGCCAGGCTAGCAAGACTGTCTCAGAGAGTGAGAGTGAGAGAGAGAGAGAGAGAGAGAGAAGCTAATTTTTAAAAACCCAAGTTAACAATTACTGCTTTTCGTAAAAATTTCATTTCTACCCTCAAGCTGTTGAATTTAAAGACAGAATACCTCTCGCATGTGTGAATACCGAATAGTTTCCCTAATGTAAGTAATGATTCAAATATATAAAAATATGTGGTAATCATGATTCCCCATTAGGTGGCCTTGAAGCCTTATAAAGTTTTCACTCATTAATTAGAAAGGCTTTATTCTGGGCTTCTTGATATGAAAATATTTGAAGCTAGAGTATATGAAGTTTTACCCAAATATTTCAAGGAAAAAGACACTATGGTAACTACTATTAAGTCAGGTTATAAGGTGGTGAAGTACTAGGTTATTGAAACAGTCATGCTGTGACCTCTATTGTTATATTGTTATGTCCTGTTTTATCTCAATCTCCTCCTTATTGTTTCAAAAAAAATTATTTAGTCATTTCTTATGTTTGTCTTAATTAAAGAAAAAATTCAAAAAAATTAGGATATATAAATAGTAACTCTTTTCGATTTCCTATTAACTTGTTTTGAAGTCCTGTAGTACTCCCACGATCTTGTTTTGACTGATTAGACTCTGTTCCATTCTATATGATAGTATCAAGTTTGAAGACATAGGCAACTACTTTGAAGACAATAAGATTCACTAAGATACCCATTCTGGTTTGACTATTGTCTTCTTTGGAAGTCCTGTAATGTTTACAATGCCTAAGTTTTATTGGTCTTGTTCTCTACTGTTTTGTCCAACTTTATAATATCTAATAAGATAGACAATTCTTTTTAAGGAAACAAGGGACAACGTTGATAACCATTGTTGATAAACTTGTACTCTGTTCTACACCATGTGCTACGTCTATCCTTGGTATTGACTGACAGCTTTGTTTTGCCATATTTGACTGTATTCTTCCCCCCCCCCAAAGAAAGTAATAAGCACTAAGGAGTAATAAAATCCAAGATGTGTAAATTTTGTTGTAAAAAAGAGAGGGAAAAAAAAAAAAGAAAAGGAGCTCTAACGGATATAACAGCAAGTGTGTTTGGGGGTGTTAAATAGCTGACTTTATCAATGTTTTTGGAACATTGAACACAGCTGTTTGCAGTCTCCCTGTTTGAATGTCCACCTTGTGTTCTTTGATACTGTGATTTGAGGAACTATTTTCAAGAAAATAGTGTGTAATCTACTAGCAGGTAATTTCTTACTGTTATGGTTTTTTGTTTTGTTTTGTTTTGTTTTGTTTTGTTTTGTAGTTCTGTATTGCGTGTACCCTTACGCCGCTTTGGTTTGTTTTGTGTTTTTCTCTTTTTCCTCTTAAATAAAAAAAAATAAAAATAAAAAAAAAATAAAGACAGAATACCAGGATGGATGGTGAGAGGTGTGAGCCCCTGGCAGCTCTGCAGGTGAAGCCCAGGGTGTTGTAACAGCAAAAGTCGGACTCCACGATGTCTGCAGGTGAGTGGTCATCCCTGGAAAGAGGGCTTTCTGGGAAGATCTTTGGAAGGTGATCTTTAGGAGAGGGTCATTTCATTTCCTTTATGTCTGGGAGGTTTTCAGCTCTGAAGGGCCCTGATTAAAATGCTGGGAAAGAGTTAAACTTGACTACCTAAGGCCTGAGTCCTGGATTAACAGCTGGTATTTTTACTGCAACTAGGAAGACTGGGTCACCGGACAGGAAGGCAGGGGATGGCAAGAAGCTGTGTTCAGCAGAAAGGGGAACTAGTTTATAGGAAAACGGAAGATTGTGCTGTGATTACTTGGTTGCTGGAACATTTTAACAAAATCTACAAAACAGTGTTTATCTTGGTACTGAAGATTGAACCCAGTGCCTTCACACTGAGCTACATCCTGGCTTTATTTTACTTTTTATCTTGCTAAGTTGCCCAAAATGGGCTCAAACTTGAGATCCTCCTGCCTCAGCCTCCCAGAGCACTGGGGTCATGGGTATGCACTACCATGCCCAGCTACACCTAATTTTTTAAAATTAGCAAGCATTATAGAGAACATCCATTCACATCCCAACCACTGTCCCCCCCTTATCCCTGATGCAGACCCAATCCCTGACTCCCGGTCCATTCCTGGCCACCTACCCCTTCTGACCCTGACTACTCTCTTTTATTCACCCCATTCATGACCCCAGCCCCATCCTGGACACAAGCCCTTCCCCAAGCAAACCATCTCCCCGACATCCAATCCTTGCCCTGTCTACCGACTGAAACACAAGTACAGTGGTGCCTCAGTTCACAGATTCAATTCTTTCCACAGTTCTGGTCACAAACCAAATTGGATGAGAACTGAATCAAATTTCCCCATAAGGTCAACATTGAACCTGATCACTGAATTGAATTTGGCTCTCTTCCAATTCAGTTTGAGACCAGACTCATGGAAAGAACTAAGTTTGTGAACCCAGGCACCAATGTATTTGATATGTCAATACACTGTTCTAATGAAGTATCAAAATCCTGGAATTTTAGAAAATCTGAAGTCCAAGCGGGGTGTGGTAGTGTGTGACTATAATGCAACCACTCAGGAGGCTGAGGCAGGAGGATCATTGTGAGTTTGAGACCTGGCTGGGCTACAAAGTGAGCTCAAGTCCAGCCTGAACTGCATAGTGAGACTTTGTCTCAAAAAGTCTAAATAAATAAATATAAAAAATCTAATCAACTAATATTACACTTGCTTGAAAAAATTTCTGACTGTATTCCTGCTGGGTTTAAAATTCTCACTTGCTGTTTTACTGCTGTTTAATTCTCATCAAATCACCAATGAGCCTGGCTGTCTTTTCCGATGCTTACTGGACATTCATGTAGCCCTCGACCTGGTGTGGATCCTTGTTTACTTGCAGGGGGCCTGAGGGACTTGTCTTTGGTGCCATAGGGTGAAGGAGAAGGGTGAAGGACAGGAAGACAGATGCTAAGTAAACAGTAGACGAGGCAGAAGGGCCCTAAAGGCCGGAAGGAGGGGAAAGAGGCCCCAGTTTTCTGCCTTCCTCCCTTGATTCCTTGTGCTTTCCTCCTGGGCTGTCCCCTGAGTCAGATCTACCCCCTGAGGACTTGAGCCCCTCACTCCTTCCCCACCAACCTGCTTGGAGAACCTCTTATGGACCAGGCAGAGGCTCCTCAGAACCCTCTGGAAGCTTCTGGAAACTCCTAGAAGAAGGCTTCAACGATATTCCAGAGAGAATGGTGGCTGTACCAACTAGGGCTTTCTGTTCCAGCCCTGTAGCCACTCTGCACCTCTGACATCCATTCCATTTCTGACCCCTCCCTGGGACTCCCCACCCCCACTTCTCCCACCCTCACCCCTTCCTTGGACCTGGTCCGGCACAGGTGGACTCTCCTTGTCTAATCCTCCCTCTCCAAGTCTCTGATTCTTGCTCAGCTTATCCTGAACTGCAGGTCTCTCCTATTCCTGACGTTCAGCCTCTGGCTTCTCACCTGACCTGAGCTGCCACCCCATCCCTACACCCTCCTCATCATTCTCCCCAATCTCTGATCCCAGTCTCAGCTTCGACCACAATCCCACCCAGGAGCCTCAGCCTCTGGCCATCCTCGACTGTGACCCACACCACATACAACAAGATCAGCCATGGTGGAATTTAGGCGGCTGAGCAAGAAAGCAATTTGCTTCCTTTCCCTGGCGAGAGCTAGGAGGAGAACCAGTCAGCATCTCCCATGAGCCTACCTTAGCACAGGCTGAGGATCAAACATCCCATCCCTTCCTCCCCCCTACCCCGTTAGCAACTGGGGGCAGAGGTCCGAACATCTCTTGGGACGATGACCATATGCAATATAGCAAATATGGGGGATCTCCTCCTATCTTCTGAAGGCAAATGTTTTCACTGTTTTTCTTTGTTCTAATTGTTTTGCTCTGTTCAATATTCCCTTTCGATTGGCTTTATCTTTACAATATACTATAGTACCTATTACTGTTATCCCAGAATTCTGCTCTGAAATTCTGTGCCAATTTCACTGCATTGCTCAATTGGCTTTGTTCTGTCTTGTTCTGTTGTATTTTACTACCTTCAAAAAAAAAAAAAAAAAAAAAACAAACAAACAAACCAGCAGCTTCCCAGATTTACTCTAGCGGGCCAGAGAGGGGTTTGCACCAGGAGCAATCAAAGGAACCTCAATGAGTTGCAGTACTTGCTTGCAACTCTTCTCCCCAGACAGACCACACAGGCAAACTTGATGAGCGAAATGTGTTGCCCAGAACAAGAGGGTGACAGGGAGAATACAGATAAGAGGTTCTGGGAGCAGATGGTGTGCAAGTGAGCTCAGGCCTTTTTAACACCATTCATTTGATAAATATTGACTGAGCATTTAATGGGCAGTGTGTCAGACACCAGAGATGTAGAGTCAACAAAACAGAAGATTTTTCACCTTGGGGGAGGGAAAACAGAAACAACGGTAATTCCCAGTAAGTGTGGGGGTGGGGGTTAACTCAAAACAAAGGAGCCAGGCAAGGCCCACCCAGGGAGATGGTGCCTAAGTGAAGCCAAGGCTTGGGAAGAGGGGGACATTTCCTGTTACACCTGGACAAATGATTCTCCCCAGCCTGGGATACAAGAACAAAGACAATTTTCTGGTCCTCAAAAGACCCTTCTGCCAGGGACAGCAACCCATCCACCCTATTACCCCCGTTCTATTGCAGGCACAACCAGCAATGCCACCACACACGTTCCCCTCCATGTCACACTTGCACAGGAACTAACATAGGCAGAAATTTTATTGGAAATATGGGACCAGTCAGCTGACTGGCAAAGCGTGCATGGGTCTGGGACATTGCTAATGCTCCATGTCAGGCTGGAGGCATCGAGAGTCTTGTTCTGTTCTGCCCATGGCTCTGCGCGTGTCCAGCAGGCTCACTGCCCTCTCTGAGCGTGGAGTAAAGAGGATTTCACACCAGTAGCACTGGTTTCCCAAACACCCTTTGCTTGCCCACAGCACCCAAAGGGAAATTATTTCTGGCTCCAGCAGGAGGCCACCTGGTGGTGTGACACTTCAGCAGCAGCACCTGCCTTGATGTCCTCAGCATGTATCACAACACGCTAGAGATGGGGAAAGAGCCCCACGAGATCAGAGAGCGCAGATCTGCCCCTCAGCCTGGTTAGAACACGCTCGGCATTTGGGGTGCGGTTCCAGTGAAGACTGACAAGAGGGTCCAGCCCATTTGGGAAAACAGCTTTGGCCCCAGTTCTTTGCTCTACTGTTAGACGCAGGTTACAGGTATGACCATGCTAATGGGGCAAAGATGCCCAAATTCATCAGAAATGAGGCTGTGCCTGTTCATGGCAGTGTTGAAGCTGTTCCTTGATAGTCTCCTGGGAGGCTGGAGTGGTCCCTGAGGCCCCAATCCCTAAGTCTCCCACACTCGGCAGCTGCTCCTCAAACCCGAAGGTGTCTGTCTGAGACAGTCTATCCCACCCACGCCCTGGGCAGGCCTGATGGTATCCTTTCCTCTGAGTGGGACAGACTCTTCCTTCTGCAGCTCTCAGAGGTTTGAAGCCACAGTGCTAGAAGAACTGTGAGAGGGCACGCGGTGACGGGCCAAGAACCCTTTGCTAATCAGGCCACGGGCAGCGAGGATCTTGAGGAGTCCGTGACGAAACTTCTGGCCAATAAAGGCATAGATAATGGGGTTGAGACAGCTGTGGAGGAAGCCCAGGATCTCGGTGACCTCCAAGGCCCGGTCAATGTGGTCACGGCGCTCACAGGTCTCCTCGATCAAGCGGGTCCTCATGAGGGTGTCCGTGAGCAGGACCAGGTTGTGGGGCAGCCAGCAGAGCAGGAAGACAAGCACGACGGCGAAGATGACCCTCATGGCCCGGTGCTTCTGCCCCATCTGGGCCTTGAACAGTGTGCGCAGTGTGCAGCCGTAGCAGAACAGCATGATGAGCAGGGGCAGGATGAAGCCATAGAACTGAGGCAGGATGCGCAGCACCAGGCGCCACATGGTTGTGTTAGTACCCAGGGACTCATAGCAGACAAAGATGCTCTCCTGAAGACGAATGGCCTCACGAAAGAGGCTGATGGGCAAAGACAGAGTCAAAGATACTACCCAGATGCCCATACAGATGAACTTGACCAAGTGGCGCTTTTGGGTCAGTGTATGTGTGGCATGGACGATGGCCAGATAGCGGTCCATGCTGATGGCGGCCAGCAGCAGAATGCCACTGTAGAAGTTGACTTCCTTCAGGAGTGAGGCTATCTTGCAAAAGGGCGTGCCGAAAATCCAGCCCTTCTCCTTGTTCACAGCCCAGATAGGCAAGGTTAGGGCAAAGAGCAGGTCAGCGACAGCCAAGTTCACCAGGTAGACATCAGTGACGGAGCGGGTGACCTGGCTGCATAAGATGACCACCATCACCAGGGAGTTTCCCAGCAGGCTCAACAGGAACACCACGACATAGACAACAACCAGAGCTGCACTGTTGAGTATCTCCAGGTCTCCGCCACAGGGGCTATAATCTTCTCCCGTGGGTGGCATGCCAGTGAAATTTTCCAACCCCTCATACCACTGTTCACCAAAACTGCTCCACCACATGTCCTTAAGTTCACCCATGGTCAGATCTAGTGGAAAGGTCAGAAGGGGGGAAAAACGTAATTTAGTAACTCATTGAAGTCGCTCTCATCGTGGATGTGAAGGGACAGCTTTTACTTCTCCGTTGATTTGGCAACCAGAGATTCCCCCTCTTCACCTCTCACCTGAGCTTCTTTCAAAGTTGGCTTCCCAGAGGCATCAACCATCTGTAATTCAGAGGTCCAGCCTGAGTATGGGATAAGACAGAGTACAGGGAAGTGATCTTTGCCCTTAGTGGGCCCTACAACTGTCTGGACTCTTCCTCCAGCCCTAACTCTTCCCCTTTTACCCTTCCCTGTCCTAAGCCAGGTCTGCGCATGAAGATGGGCAGGAACCAACCCGCCTGGTCTCCTGCAATCAGGGGAGGGCCAGCTCTCAGCGAAGCAGGAGGAAGCAAGCCCACGCAGCTGTCCCCTCCTACCTCAGCTCTCCTCCTGTGTTCTCCCTAATTCTTCTTTACCTTCTTCAAACCTACTCAGAGAAGGAACTGATAACAAATTGTAGTAAGTCACATGGGTGCCCTTTGACTTACACGGGGGCTGTACCCAGGTAAATCCTTCCTAAACTGGAAATATTCTAAGTCAAAAATGCATTGAGTACACCTGACCTACATCGTAACTTAGCTTCACCTACCTTAAACACTCTCCGAATGGTACATTAACCTACAGCTGGGGGAAAGTCCTCTAGTACGAAGCCTGTTTTATAATAGTGTTGAATATCTAATGTAATTTACCGAATACTGCACCACATGTAATAAACAGGACAACTGTTGGTAAGGTGAAAACTAACGCATGAAACCATCAGAAGGTGGGGATTTGAAACCTGTCTTAAATGATGAGTAAACATTTTGATCTTCTGTCTAAAGAAAGTTTAAGCAAGTCAGAGGACAAAATCTCGATCTGGTCCCTAAAATCCTCTCCTAGACCTCCACACTCAAAGGTTTTCAAGTAGCTGTTTTTTAAGCGTGAAATACTGTTAAAAGGCCAGAGGCGCAACATGTGAACAGATCAAAGCCGAGTTGCTGAGGAAGGAGGACCACATGCTGCTCTCTCCCCCTGGACAGCACCCTCAGAGCATCCCAAGCCCCCAGGATTCCCCAGAGAGCAATCTGAAGGCCTCTGGATTCCTCAGGGTGGGTCTGGACCCGGGTACCGTGCCCTCCTGAGTAACCTTGGTTAGGGCCCATTCCCCTATAGATTTCCATTTGCTCTCTGCATGGATCAGATGCAAAGAAGAAAACTTGTTTGCTTCCAGGTCAGCAGTCTGCTAAGTTCCTTCTAGTGGACAGCTCATTCCACACATTCTAGTGTATTCTCTTAATCCTCCCCTTGCCAGTATTTGTATTTCCATAGAAGACAAAAATTTTAGGATAAAGCAATACACATCAAGAGGCCAGTCGCAGCAACCCTCAGGTCCCATGGAAATGAGTGCGTTTTATAAAGTAAAGTGAAATAAGCCTTGGTAGCCCCACAGAAAGTCCTGCCAAACAGGAGGCTTCATACCTGAGGTGCCAGCCAAGTGTGTCCGATGTAAAGACAGCAGCTCAAGGACCAGAGTGACCTAACAGGAACTATATAAATAAAGAGAAATTGAGAAACCACACCCCTGCCTTGAGTCCTGCCCATGTCTGCAGTTAGGAAACAGATTAATACAGGATCCCAGCCCAACAGAAACTCCAGGGATCTGTATGTCCAAGGGGTTACCAAGCATAAAGTGGGGGCTAAAGCTCCAGTATCTGAATTCTCCACTCCATGGTGACTACTTTTATCACTTATTCCCCAAATTCCCTAGTAGATGGCCTTTGAAAACTTCCAGCATTCCTGACAAAAATAAAGGTGATCTGAGTGTGATGGCACACACCCGAAATTACAGCTACTTCAGAGTCCGGGCAAGAGCTGCACGCCTGTAATCCCAGCAACTGGGAGGCTGTGGCAGGAGGATCTCTGTGAATTCAAGGCCAGCCTGAAGTATAGCAAGACTCTATCTCATCCCCCTCCCCCAAAATAAACAATTTCCAACAAGAAATAAAAATTAATAAATATGGAAAGGATTTGACCTTTTTACAGCAAATGCTTCAGAAGGTGTCTATGGTAGGAGGGAGCTGGGATTTAACTGGTGGGGAGGAGGCTGAGGACTACATTTGGCCTGAGTTTGTCTTGGAGTCCAGCTAGATAGCAGAGAGACCAGTAAGGCCGGGGCCATCAGCAGCAGAAGAGCTTTGAATTGCTACTGCTGCTCCCTCCCAGAGTGAAGGATGGCTTTTCTAGAGCCAGCCTGAGATGCCCAGAAGCTGACCACTGGGCCCTGGCTTCAGTCCTCAGCACTGAAATACTGGAGTGCTGCAGGGATGTGTTTCTGAGTCAGGCTCCTCACCTTCACTGGGAGCAGGGCCCCTCTTTGATTCATCTCTGTATCATGTGCCAGAGCAGTTAATGCTCGGGCAGTGGCTGGAGAAGAAGTGGTGTTAGACGGAGCTCATGAGCACGGATCACCAGCCCCATCTGGAGTGTCCTTCGCCATCAGCCCTGGTGGCCGCCTGAAATCTTCCCTCCGGGCAGCGTGCAGCAGGGCTGCTCTGCCTGGCAGTGCCCGCCCCGCTCTGCTGTTTGAAGTTGACACCGATCACAGGGGTGTAAATTCTGCCCCGGCCACAAATGCCAAACGTGCATGCTGCTGGTGCTTCCAACTGTGCCACTCGCAGGCACAGCGTCTAAGCTAAGGCATACTCTCCTCCTGAGCTCTCGTCGCGTTTCTACATCTGTAGTGGCAGGAAGTATAGGAAAACAACTGCCCGGGGTTGTTTCCTCACCCTCAGTGCTTCCACTTATCCTAGGCTACTGGGATCTGCTGACTTGACTAGAAAGGACTCGAAAATGGGGTAGTCCCAGAAGGAAAGGGACAACCCTTCATTAGTCACCCCGGGGAAAGGAAGCTCCCAGGCCAGAAAACAGTGACCAGGGACATAGGAGGAAAGAGTTGGGGCGCAGAGTGCAAACGCAGGTGTATCCCTGTATTGTGTAAAGAGCAGGCGACGGGGAGGGAAAGCAGTGTGGCCACAAGGGGGCAGCAGTCGCCAGACACTGGAGCCACCTGCCCGCTACCCGTTGAGAAAGACGAGGGTCAGGAGCAGTCTTGTCCCAAACCAACTTTTTAAGTTCTTCTTTGTGCATAGCTAGTTCCTTTCTGCTTTTCCTCAACCCCTGGTCAAATTGGTTCACGACCTCCCACTACTGCAACGAATCACAGAGACTCGAGGAAGGTCCGGTTTGGTCTACCCGAGAGCTCCGGAAGCAGCCCAGCTGGCTGAGCCCCCAGGGGGACAGCAGGGGTCGCTCTGGTCTCCCCGGGAGGATGGATCTGGAGGACAAGGGCTGGAAACAATCTTTTCCTTTGTGATCAGAAAGAGAAGGGGTGGGGGGCAGAAGAAAATCGTTCCCGCGTGGAAAGGTTCCAGCCCTTCGGCCCACTCAGCACACCTGCGGCGCTTCGTTCTCCCTGCCAGCTGCTCCTCTTGCTCTGAGCTCTTGTGTTTCTCGTGGGAAAGAGCTCCCCGTGCTGCGGGAACACTCCGTGCACACCGTGGACAGGTGCAGCCACAGTGCAGCCATCTGGCAAAATGTAGGGGCCCTTGGCGGGAAACGGTCCCCACCACTCTGTTTTCTCCCTGAGGTGGCTTCCATCAAGTCGGCGTGAGCTGCGTACCTTTCTGTACCTGTGTCGGCCTTGATGTCCACGTAGGCATCGCCTCACGCTCCTCCTGAAGAGCAAGTACAGGAAAGGGAGCTAGGAAAGGATTTGTCCCCTCTCCTTGTGACACCCTCATCCCCACAGAGACAGCTTCGGAGGGCACCTCTAAGGCAAGCCACTCTGAGCACAGGTCGGGATGTTTGTTCAGTACCCAGAAAAAAGTAAATTTATGGTCTTGGGGCACCTGACAACCATTTTGCTACCATAATGGCGACACCAGTGGGAATACAAACCCCAGCACACGGAAGAGGGCAGAGCCCAGAGACCGAGAGGTGGAGCCAGGTCCTGTCCAGACCATGTCTGGTGGCCAGACTCTCTCGGCACTTTAAAATGACACGAACCAGAAAACTATCTTTAGTATTAAGACCCGTTCAAGTACAGTTGAACCTGCAACTTCCGGCTGGAAGTTCTAGAAACCAAATATCCTGAAGAATGAGGGAGGAACACCAAGGAATCAGTCATGACTGCTGCCCTCTTGTGGCCAAGGGGACTGTGACAAGAGGACAGAGCAGGCCATCCTCCCAGACTCCATAGCCAAGCTCCAGCAGAAGTTAGAGAAGAATTTTTAAAAATGGTCCCTCAGCTGGTGGCACAAGCGCCTGCCTGGCAAGCATGAGGTCATGAGTTCAATCCCCGGAACCAACAAATAATAATAATTTCTAATTAAAAGTGGGCCCATGCCAGGCGTGGTGGCACACACTTATAATTCCAACACTTGGGAGGCTGAGGCAGGAGGATTGCTGCATAGTTCAAGGCTATCCTGGGCCACAAAGTTAGTTCAAGACCAGCCTCAACAGCATAGTGAAACCCTGTCTAAAAAGAAAAAAAAAAAAAAGTGGGCCCTTGAGGACCCAGCGGAGGGACTCCCTTCCTGAACAGATTCAAAAATGCTTACAGAAGACCCAGAAATCTCTCTTGGGAGCCAGACAGACTATGATTCAATTGCCAGCTGTACTTCATTAGTCTGTGATGTTAATTACCCGGATTTGATCAGTACGTGTTGTACATGCCTGTGTATTAAAATATCACACTGTGTAGCCTAAATAAGCACAGTCATGATGGGAGGATCAAAAAAAGATTTAATGTTTAAAGACAGGGAAATGCAAACTAATTTGCTCATCATACACCATGCTGTGTACATCCATTCAGTTACAATGCAGAACCCAATAAATGTGTGCTACTAAGATAAAAAAATACATAAAATAAAGCAGGGCCTTATTTACTGAATCACTACGAGGACCAGCTGTTGTAATCAGCACTATAAAATATAATGGATGCTACGTGGAAATGAGGGTTAATGAGCAGAAGGAAGTCTAACATTTCATAACAAACGTGTGCATGTGCACAGAGTGAAAGCTGGAAAGAATCAAAATGTTAACAGTGGTCATCTTTGGGAAGCAGGAGTATGGACATTTGCTTTCTTATGTCTGTTGAAGTTGCCTAGGAAAAAATACATAGCAGTCATTTTTCTTTTTAAAAAAATAACACTCTGACGGTCAATTCCCCTGTCCATCCTCAGCCACAGCTATGCAGCTAGGTTTGCAAGCAAAGGCCCAGCACTCAAAGCTCATGCCATGGTGGGTTCCTAATTCTTCACCCCCAAAGTCCCCTTCCTGCTCTGGCCACCCACGCATCACCCACTTCTCCATTTTCGTCTGTTTTTCAGACTCATCCAATTCCGTTGCAGAAGTTTTTCTTTCCCACTGGAACGTGATTGAGCAGGGCCCTGGACAGAGCCTGAGCCCAGTCATGATCCACAGCGCACTCTGTCCACAGCTCCTCGCCCCACTCCAAAGCACAGAGGTCTGTGTCCTCAGCACCCTGCAGAGCAGAGGGTCTGATGCATGCAGAGAGCTGGGGGGCCGCGCAGTGGCCCAGGCCCTGCGCTCAGAAAAGCCCCAGTGTCACCTTGGAACTCGTGTTCCGTGAGGGGAGAGCCCATCTCGTGCATGGGAACTCGGATGGAGCCCACTTGTGATCTCACCTCTCCCCCACCCCCAGTATTGGAGACTGAACTCAGGATTCTTCCATTGAGCTAAATCTCCAGCCCTTTTCCTTTCTTTGGTTTTGTATTACTTTTAGACAGGTTCTTTATGAATCACTGAATTGCCCAAGCTGGGCTCAACCTTGCACTTCTCCTGCCTCAGCCTCCAGAGTGCTGAAATTGCAGGTGGGTACCGCCATGCCAGGCTCAGTTCCACCTCCTGTTGCATCACTGATATGAGATCCCCATCCTGAGCCCACTGCAGCCTTGACCTCCAGAGTGGCCTTAGGGGAGCACAACAGAGGCCAGCAATGGGCATGGGCAGCAGGGCAGCCTGCACTTACTGGGGATATCCTGTGTCTGAAGGAGCACAGATTAAATAGCAAATAAGCACTCTGTCTTATAAGGGAAAGACCATCAAAGAAGGAAAAAAGCTTTTCTCATTGGTCGTGATGGCGTATACTGGTGTACGCCAGTAATCCCAGCACTTGGGAGGCCAAGGCAGGAGGACTGCTGCAAGTTCAAGACCAGCCTGGGCTACATAGTGACTTCAAGGCCAGCCTGGAAGACATAGCAAGATCCTGTCTCAAAAAAACTAAAGAAAAAAATCCACATGAATCATCGTATCATATAGTGTTTCATTAGTTTCACCCATGTTGTCACACATGACAGGATTTAATTCTTCTTATGACAATGGTATTCTCTGGTGTATATGCACCATGTTCAGATAGGTAATTCATCTGTCGATGGATATTTGGGAGTATTGTGAGTATCTGTGATGAATACGGGCATACAGATGTCTCTCTAACAGTGATTTCATTTCCTTTGATTGTATACAAGCAGTGGTGGGATTGTAGGATCACATAGTTCTATTTTTAATTCTGGGGGAAATCTCTATACTGTTTTGCATAATGGCTGTACTAATTTACATTCCACCAATAGCATCTCAAATTCCCTTTTCTCCACGTCCTCAACAGCACTGGTTATCTTTTGTATTTTTGCTAATAGCTATTCTAACTGAAGTGAGGTAATAGCTCATTGTGGTTTTGATTTGCATTTCTGTAATGACTGGTGATACTGAGCGGTTTTTCATCTGCCTATCTGCCATTTGAGTGATTTCTTTTGAGAAATGTCTATTTGGGTCTATTGCCCACTGTCAGTTGGGTTATTTGGGTTTTTTATTAAGTTTTAGATATATTCTCGCCATTAGTCCCTTGTCAGTTATAGAGTTTGCAAATATTTTCTCCCACTGTGTCTCTTCCTTCATGGTGCAGATTTCATTTGATATAATCCCCTTTTTGTCTGTTTTTCCTTTTGTTTTCTGTGCTTTGGGGTCATATTCTAATAATTCTTGCCCATTTCAAAGTCCTAAAGTGTTTCCTATATGTTTTCTTCTAGCAGTTTCATAGTTTCAGGTCTCACATTTATGTCTTTATTGCATTTTGAATTGAATTTTGTAGCTGGTGAGAAATAGAGGTCTCACTTCATTCTTCTATAAGTGGATCTCCAATTTTCCCTGCATCATTTACCAAAGACCATCCGTCTCCATCAGTTTTCTTAGCACCTTTGTCAAAGATCAGCTGGCTACAGATACATGGATTTACTTCTAGATTCTCTATTCTGTTCCATTGATCTACATACCTATTTTTATGCCAACATGTTATTTTTATTACTATAGCTTTGAAGTATTTGATGTCATTAGTGTAGTGTTCCTTGCTTTGTTCTTTTTGCTCCTGATAGTCCTAACAGTTGCAGCATTGCTGGCAAGTCCAAGTGTAAAGTCTCCTCTACCATTTAAGGCAAACTCTTAGCTGTGAGACTGCAAAAATCAAAAGAAAGTTAAACTCTGCTGACACACAAAAGCCCAGGGCAAACACTCTTGTCACAAAAGGGAGAGAGAGGGCCATAGAAAAGAATGGTACTGAAGCAAGACAG